GTAACGTAAGTAAGTAAGTAAGTAAGTAAGAAGAAGAAGAGAGAGAGAGAGAGAGAGAGAGAGAGAGAGAGAGAAAGAGATGTAATTATAAAGGAAATATATTTAGCTCCGATTTGCGCGTATCCAAGAAAAACAAGAAGCGGAAAGAACACAGCTCTCGTGCTTTTGTAGAACGTCTATTTCCTCGAGAACCCATCATAATTATCTAATTGCTATATAATCTTTTAAAACTTAAAGGATAAGATTTCGAAAGATGAATCCCGGTGGTTTCATCATGCGGCGCAACGTAATTAAGAAAGCATAATGCGATCGCCTCACCTGAATCCAATAAGGCAGGTAAAAGCCGGAGCACGCCAGGATCGAGGCCACGGTGGACAGAGTAGCCCACAGCACGCACAGCACTGTCATCTCATCGGTTTAGAAGCGTTCGCCTCTCTCCCTCACGCACCCCGGTTCATTCCCCATTCGTGCATAGCCGTAGGGACCATCCCTCTAAGCGGTGTCAGAATCACGAACTTTGATGCACCTGCACGGACGGGTGCGACCGTTGACAGTCGATCCCGACAGCCGCTCTCGACAACGTTGGCTCTCGCTGTTAAATCGCCCTCTCTTTACGTCATGGCTGGCAAAAGGTACAACCGATCGATTGTGCAAGTGACATTTATTTAGGGTATTGATGAGCCTGTCGCGGCTCGTTTGACACTCGCGTAGCGTTAATTCCGGGATCGATCGACTTCCTCCCGATCGCGAATCAGAATGTGCCTGGCGACGCGTTCTCCCTCGGCCTCGAACATCCTAGTACTTTGATCATTTCCCCTTAATCACCGGGTCGTTCTTCGCGAACGTTTTCCGTGGTCGCCGCCGGCAAGAAAAACCACACGCGAAGCCGTTAATTCAGCTTCCGCGAAGGAATTACCCCGCTCGTAAAACGTGACCGAGGTGTCGCTCAGAATATCACTTCTCCGAAATGAGTCACGCGGTTAATTTCGATTCCCGCTCTCTGACGTCTTCCCCGCGTCGGAAAATTTATGCCAAGTGACGATGAAACGAGGACACGATCTCTCTACGCATGATAAAGCCAATAGGAAAGTTATCCTTCCAAATGATCGCACAGTTCACCCACAGTTCGCTTGAAGTTTCCGATCCATTTGGTTTCAACCCGCACAACTCTATCGTCGAAATTCAAGAAGTTCATTATTCAGCAGAAACTTACTAACGCTGTTTGTTAGTACGATCCTCTTTCAGCGGGCACTTCAAAAGTCGCTTTTCGAAGTTGCTATCGATCACTGGCCGATCCAGATGCGACATCAATGAACGTCCGATAGAAAAAATCCGTGATCTATGAGCCGCATTCTTCGGTACTCTCTCTTCCGTCCGTTTGTTAATTCGAGAGTTCGTTTTTCACCGAGAGTCCATTCCCAGACTCAAGTTCTTGCAGACCTGGTATGGTACCTCGCTCCATTGCCAGACGCGTTCTCCGCTGTTAATTATAGATCCGACCACCGTCGTGGCTTCGCTACTCACGCTGCGGTGCTCGCTCTTCACCACGTTCCCGATAAGTGAAGTATTCGTATTATCCGAGACCACTCAACCAGGACCAGACGCTGCCACTCTCACGCCACTTTTCCGCAACGCGGAGGAGATCTCGAGAAGAGAATTGCGGAAGATCACACGGTTGAAAAGCGATCGTCCAGGCCAGTGACGATGTGATTCGGTTGAAATTTAATTTTCAGCCCGGAGCTCGATGAGCCTTTCCTCATCGCAAACGGAGACGACCGACGACGAGAGGAGTGTACAGCGTGCGCGAACGTTGTTCGCCGTTGTCGTCGCCGCCGTCGTCGTCGTCGTTCGTCGTCGCCGTCGCGCACGGCGCCGCTTCGTGGCTGCGACTGAACGGTTCCGTTCTCCACACTCGGCGGCGTTCCTCCTCCTCCTCCTCCTCCTCCTCCTCTTCCTCCTCCTCCTCCTCTTTCTCCTCCTCCTCTCTTCTCGCTCCTACCCGCCCGCGCCTGTTTGTGCCGCGCCGCGCCGCGCCGCACCGCGACCGCACCAGCGTGTGGGAGAACCGAGGGCGCCCGGCGACGCACCAGCATCCCGATCTCGGACATCTGGCGAGCACACGCCGTGCACGCGCGGAGGACGGTGACCGCGAATACACGTCGCGTTACACGTCGCGACGGACGTGTGCGTGCGCAATGTAACACGTGTACGAATCGCATTATTCGCGGGTATCTTTGCGTGTAATGGAAGATCGAATAACACCCCCTCCCCCCTTCCGTCCCTGCCGCGATCCGTTAATCGTCCGTTAATGTTTGAAGTTTCCGACGTTGATAGATATAACGTCGATGAAATCCGAAGTAAGGCCGCAGTTAGGAAATGTCATCTCATCGCCTGTTTTTCGTAAGAGTTTTTCGTTGGCGACAATTGTGGAAAATCTCATTGATCTCTTCCATTGCTATTACATCTTGTCATTAATCATTCTTGTGTTGCTTTCTCTCTTTTTCATTTTACAACGCGTATTGACGCGCATCGATCGATACGTTGACGGACAGACTTTAACGGAGTTCCTGTTGTATCAATTCAGGATGGAAGGGGCTTTGGTTGTCATGGTTAGGCCAAAATAATTGAGGGTTTATGCCGCGCATATATACTAATATTATTACTCGTCGATAACATCGCGACATATTGATTAATACAACATCAACTCTTTAATTATTTTGACTTATTGTACAAAATATTCGGAAACCATTAGAAACCTTTTTCGACAGGTTTTTAATTAATTTAGAATCGATGTCTTTTTAATAAAAATATTAAGATCATCAATAACTTTTATTTTCATTGGAAAAAAATATAATAAAAAATTGATTACAAAGGAGTCGGTGATTTTGATGAAACGTGCCTGTATACGTGCCATAATTTATCATAAATTCTATTAAATTGCATGGAACAATTACACAACGCACGAAAATGAACGAATGAGACAATAAGACAATTCTTGATAAACGTAAACTTGGCACGGATGGCCAGGAATGATAATACAAGGCAGAATGATTCGTTTCCAAACACGTTTCAGAAACACTCGCTTTTATACACAAAAATCCCTTGTGTTCCCAACACGGAATTACCTCATAATTGCTAATGAAATTGCGTATGACCCAATTCTATGTATATCGAGGCGCTAATGCACAGCCGTTGTCCCTTCCGTCGCAAAGCCCCCCCGGGTCGAAATTGACAATGCGTGTGACCTGCCCCACACGTCGATCCCTTTAGAAATTCGAGAAATCTCATCGGTTCGAGTGGTGGCATGCGGCTGGTAAAATTAAAATCTCTCAAAACGATCGTCTGAAAAAAAAAATAAATAAATAAGACTAACCGTGCTTGTTACATTCAGCGCGACATAGCGGGACATTTTCTTTGATTATCTTTTATTTAATATTAAATGTTCCGCACGCGCATATCTCTTTGACACGTTTTCATTATGTATTCATATTCGTCTTAGGTGTGGATTGCTCGTTGGTAAATCCGCCGTCGCATTGTCGTTCCGTCTAGCTCCGCTTCACGTCCATTGTGGAGAACCTCGTTAACATTTCCATCATCCATCATCGACATAGAGACCCCCCTCGCTCGTTCCCGCCGCGGCTTGTAATCGCGACCCGCTGGCTATCGACAGATCCGGACGGTCCCGTTTAGCATCGGCTATCAGTTGCATTAGGAAAATGAATCGTCAGTTTTTCTCCACGAGCGCGACGACGACAAACGCAAAGAGAGACGACCAAGTTGCGAGAGGTGAAGACAAAACAGCAGCAGGGAAAAAAGTGGCAAAAAAAGATTTAAAAAATGGAGGATTGACGACTCGTGGCGGAAATTGGACCTATGACGTAACGTTCCATTTCCGCGCGAAACAGCATGAAACTTTTCATTTTCACTAGACGGCGCAGGTGAAAATGCGAAAATCCCTCGCCCACGCGGATGTATATGTGGACGCGTGTGTTTAAATTAAGGCGATCACACGCTACGCTATGAACGAGTAGGTGGTTTTGAGTACAGTAAAGTCTCATTTCGGTGTAAATTTCATCGAGCTTTATGACTCGACAGTGTAACGCGCGCGCCACCACGAAATATCGTTTGCGTAAGCACAGTTTTAGTGCGCTACTTCATCCGTCCGGTTACGCCGTAGCACCGCCGGTTATGACGTCGCGATAATTTTAATTCGTCACGTGATTAGGCGTGGTGATATTTTATGGATATTTCGAAATGTTTGACGAGTGTTTACGAGCAGCGGCCGGTTGCTTTCAGAAAAATCGTCAAAGGAAGGTACGAGGAGGAAGAGCGCGGTGAATGCAGCGAGACTTTCTCGAAACGGAGAGCGAATTCCTTTCCTATAATATCATCGGGCGCTACCGGAGTCCCCGGTCGCCGAACGAGAAAAGCGCTATCCCCCTCAAACAGATTATGAGTCTCGGATTTATTTTTACGACCGGCCAGATCCCAGCGCACTCATCGTGAGGAAGGAGGACGAGAAGGAAGGGAGGAGGAGAGGAGGAAGGGACGAGGGGCTGATACCGGGAGCTCTTTCGTTTGATTCGATAGCGGTGTTTCGAATCACCGTGAAATGTATATAGCGACGCTTCTTGTAGAAAGGAACACGAGCGAAAATAATCATCGCCGAGTGTCGAACGATCGAATGGGGGAAGGGGATAAAGTCGCCGAGTGTCCAACGATCGAGTGGGGGAAGGGGATAAAGTCGCCGGATTACATTCAAGCGTCACGGCCGGAAATAACGCTCGTCCTCTCGTCCGATCCACGACGCTGGAATTGGTTTAATGCGCGTTTTCGCGTTTATCGTTAAACCACGGCTGATTACCTAGGAAATTGAGATATAGACGGTACGTGAGACGCGCGGGACCGCGCTCCTTCCTTCCTCCGTCCGCGCTCTTATCTCTCCCTCTATTTGCCCGGGTAATGAGCTTCCCTGGTCGTCGCTAACTCGGAGTGTGCCAGTTCCACGGACGTTTGCCCGCCCCGTA